CCGCCGCCGCCGCCGCTTCCCAGGGCGGGGGTTGCTAATGGGATAGGGGCTCTAAGAAGATGCTAAGCTGGGCTGTGTCTGGCCTACCCTAGCATAGCAGGGGCTTACATACCCGGGACACTGGGGCTTCGCCCACTTTGCGGAGTTACCTAATCCCATTATGCCACCGAGGCACCTGCAACCCACTTAAATGATCGGCCATGCCAGATCCACCCCACCTTCGCATCATGTTGAAACCCCCCAATTCCCTCAGCCCCCCCCCGCGGTGATCCAAGTGGAAGCTCGCTGGGCTGTCTCATCCCCCGGGGTGCAGCAGCGTATTGACAAAAGTTGTTATTGTGGCACGTCCCAGTGTTACGGAGCAAGCCTCAACCAGAAACTTGTAGGATGGTTTATTTTACGAGAGTGTCTGTTCAACAGTGTAGCGTGTGCTGGAGCTGCCATGATGCAGTCCAGTGCCCCACGGCAGCATCGCCCGAGGAGCTGCAGGCTCGGCGGCAAGCCGCTCAGCATCGGGGCCGACGGCGCCAGCTGCTGCACGCCGAAGGCGGCCGGCGGCCTTCGCCGTCGCCGCCGCCGCCGTCGCCAGTGCCTCCGTCGGCGCCGACGTCGCCTTGGTCGCCGTCGCCGCCGCCGTCGCCGTCGCCGTTGCCTCCGTCGGCGACGCCGTCGCCTTCGTCGCCGTCGCCGTCGCCGGCGCTTCCATCGGCGTCGCCGTCGGCGTCACCGCCGCCGTTGCCGTCGGCGCCGCCGTGGCCGCCGTCGCCGTCGCCGTCGCCGTCGCCGTCGGCGCCGCCGTCGCTGACGTCGCCGCCGCCGCCGCCGCCGTGCGGCCGCTCGGTCACCGCGCCAGCGCCAGACTTCGGGTGACGGCCCTTCGAGAGCCGTCCGTAGCGGGCTACAGCTCCTCCTGCTCCTCCTCCTCCTCCTCCTCCTCCTCCTCCTCCTCCTCCCTCCTCCTCCTCCTCCCTCCTCCTCTCTCCCTCCTTCTCCTCCTCCTCCTCCTCCTCCTCCTCCTCCTCCTCCTCCTCCCTCTCCCTCTCGTCAACCAGGTTCAGGCGGGGAACTGGTTCCGCGGCGCAGCGGGGAGTTGAGGCTCTGCAGCGCCAACAGCGCCGGGGCGAGAGCGGGTCCCGGGGGGGAACGCGGGCCCCAGACCCGGAGGCCCTCCCCAGGGCCAGCTCCTGCTCCCGAGTCGTCCTTCGCCGGCCCCGGGCCCGCGGAGGGCCCCCCGGGGGCCCGAAAACGGGGGGAAACATGTTTTGCGCCCCGTTACTCCAGAGTTTGGCTCGAGCCATGGTGGCTCAAGCGGTCTAAGCCGGAGCAGCTCCCTGCCTCCTGTTCCCTCTCGGGCTAGAGAGCGTGGGCGTGCGTCTTCCTCGACGCGGGCCACGGTGGAGGCAGTGCCATCCCGAAGGTGCACTTCCGCAGGGTGAGCGGTATGATGGGCCCAGGGCGATGGACAAGGCACATGATGAAGATCTGGCTGGCCCAGGCCGGGCGGCAGAAGCGCTGGGCCCTGAGCCGCAAGAAGAAGGCCGCCAAGGTGCCCCCCCCCTCCCCCGGGGTCCACGCGCCCGCTCAGCGGTGCACCAAGAAGCTCAGGCTTGGCAAGGGCTTTCACTTTCGATGGGCTGCGCGAGGCCAAGATCCCCGCGAGCAAGGCCATGCCCACCAGCATCGCGCATCGCGGTGGACCACCGCAGGCGGAACAGTGGCGCCGAAAGCCTCCAGGTCAACGTGGGTAGGCTCTCAACCAGTACATGTCCAGGCTGCTGGTCTTCCCCTGGGTGTCAGGCAAGAAGGGCGTCGAGAAGGGCGACGCGCCCGAGTCGGAGCTGCAGAACGTCGCGCAGAACAGCCCACAGGAGATCATCCCCATCCCGAAACCCAGCACCGAGATGCAGGCTCGCGCCATCACCGCCGCCGAGAAGGATGCGTTCGCATGCAAGAAGCTCAAGAAATCCCGCGCGGACCCCAAGCACGACGGCGCCAAGCGCAAGAAGGCCACCGCTGGCAGCGAGGGGTGGTGAGGAGTGAGGTGCGGTGTCAAGCCGGAGCCTACGTTGCGACAGAGGTTGTCAGGTGGCTGGCTGTAACGATCGAACCCAAAATACCTCGTTCTTCCAGGACCCCTCCTTTATGCCTCCTCCACGGGCAGGCCGCCTCCATCACGGCTAGTAGTAGTAGTAACCAGTAGTAGTAGTAGTAGTAGTAGTAGTAGTAGTAGTAGTAGTAGTAGTAGTAGTAGTAGTAGTAGTAGTAGTAGTAGTAGTAGTAGTAGATGTATTTTCTTGCTGCCCCCTGGCCGCCCTGGAGCGCGGCGCGAGCCCGCTCCCGGAAGGTCAGGCAGGAGGGCGAGAGGTGCGGCATGTGGGGCAGCCCCGCCTCCTACGAGGGCGAGTGCGCAGAGGGCTCAGCATTTTGCCTGCACGCACCTGCGGCCTCAGAGGACGATGATGATGCTGATGATGATGATGATGACGATGATGATGATGATGATGATGATGATGATGATGATGGTGATGATGATGATGATGCTGTCGATGATGACGATGATGATGATTATGATGCAGATGCTGATGACGACGATGCTGATGATGATGCTGATGCTGATGCTGATGATGCTGATGATGATTATGATACTGATGATGCTGATGAGGATGAGGATGAGGATGAGGATGAGGACGAGGATGATGATGACGATGACGATGATGCTGATGCTGATCATGATGATGACGATTATGATGATGATGCTGATGATGATCATGATGCTGATGATGATGATGCTCATCATGCTGATGCTGCTGCTGATGATGATGCTGCTGATGCTGATGCCGATGATGATAATGATGATGCTGCTGCTGATGATGATGATGTTGGTGATGATGATGATGATGATGATGATGGTGGTGGTGGTGGTGATGATGCTGATGATGATGATAGTGATGCTGATGATGCTGATGATGATTATGATGCTGATGATGCTGATGATGCTGATGAGGATGAGGATGAGGATGAGGACGAGGATGATGATGACGAGTTGTTAGATGCTAGAGGCTGATCATGCGCTACTGATTATGATGTGATGATGCTGATGATGATCATGGATGATGCTGATGATGATGATGCTCTCAGGCTGCTGCTAGCTGCTGATGTGATGCTGCTGATGCTGATGCCGATGATGGATATGATGATGCTGCTGGCTGATGATGAATATGGTGTGTTGGTGGTGGTATTGATGATAGAGATGCGCTGCTCTGCTGCTTATGCGATGCTGATGCTGATGATTGCCTGAGATGATGATGATGATGATGATGATGATGATGATGAGGATGAAATGATGATGATGATGATGATGATGATGTGATGAATGGAGAGGCGATTATTTTTTCATGAGGGGAGGAGGAGGAGGAGGAGGAGGAGGAGGGAGGAGGAGGAGGAGGAGGAGGACTATTCCTCGGGCTATTTCCCGTCTGCAAGAGCGCATGATGCAATCGCACAAGAGAGGATGTGGCCAGCCGTAGTACACGATGGCCTTCAACATGTACAGCGCCATGCCCCTACAGACGGCATGGGATAAGTGGGAGCCCGAACGCTGGCGATACCTCGGAGCCCCCCAAACCCGAGAGAGAGAGAGAGAGAGAGAGACGTTGCACTGTTCATCCCCCCGCAACACACACACACTGGGGCGCCCTTGCGCCGGTGGCCGCGGGCCCGTGGCAGGTGATGCGCAGAACCGAAACGGGCTTCCAGCGAAGCTTTGGCCCCCCTCGTCGCCGCCGGGGCGGCGCACGATCCCCTCCATCTCCCCACGTCGTAGGAGGAGGAGGAGGAGGAGGAGGAAGAGGAGGAGGAGGAGGCGGAGGAGGAGGAGAAGGAGGAGAAGGAGGAGGAGGAGGATAGAGGGCGGCTTCGTCGGCGGCGTCGGCGGCCTTCGTGTCTGGCGCCAGCGCTTCATCACGACGGAGCGAACAAGGCCAACCCTGTTCGAAGTTTCACCCACACTGCGACGCGCACACGCTCGGCTTCGCCATTCAACCCTCGCTTCGGATGTTCTCGTGAGCGCTCCTGGAGACCCCTCGTCGCCATCGCTGGGCGCGCACCAGCAACACAAGGGGCAGGCGGGGGCCACCGGACGCGTCCGGGAGCCGATCCTGCGCGGAGTTTCGGTCGCGGCTCGAGGCTCTCTCCCGACGCCCCGAGGTCTGGAGCGTTGACTGCCGGCAGCTCCGGCGGGCCAGATCTTCGGGGCTCAAGAGACGGGGGTCAGCACAAGCGGGGGTCAGAGTGCTGGACCTTGCAGGATCCTGCAGGGCCAGGGTCGCATTGACCTGGGTTTGGGTGCAGGATCCTGCAGGATCTTGCAGGATTTTGCATGATCCTGCAAGGCTTGACTGACCCGGGTCTGGATTGACCCGGGTCAGAAGATCCCCGAGATCTCCCTGGATATGGGGGAGGGGGGCGGCACGTCTCGCTACGCCCAGGTGACAATGGATTTGGCCAGACCGATGTCAGATCCTCTGGAAGGACGAGGCCTGCGGCGTTAGGAAAAAATTGCGTCGATGTTGCCGACGCTCGCTCGTCAGCCACCCCCGCAGGGTCGCGCGCAGGCCTGTTCGCCTCCGCATGGGGTGTCGCGAGGGCGGCCTGCGTACCCTTCGATCCGACGTTGCGAAAACCGAGACATCGCGAGACAAAAGCACCGCGGGAGCCCCAGACCCCGTCTTTCTGGTATACTCTTCGATCCCGATCGATCTGTGATGGTCCTGGGGTACGAAGCGGAGCGAAAGCGCCCGCTGTGAAACAAATGCAACGCCCGGATAAATCGGGGTGGGTCAAATCGTGAGGTCGCTGTGCCTACTCGGGGTCCATGCTGCTCCCATCCGATCTGATCCGATCTGTCGGCTCGATACCGACCGACGTGGAGCTGATTTCCATGGCCTGCCCAGCTGCGCGGCCGCGCACATCTGCCACAGCGCCGCGTGGACGGGGCAGGTCAGTCCTCAGAGGAGGCCGATAACAACTACATGTCTGGATCTAGCTCTATGGACACCTGTGTATGTATAGGTGATCGTGTTTGTATGTGTGTATATATACATGTATATATATATAGATATATGTAGATGGATGGAAATCCAACTGAATTCGGCGAACCCTGCTAGCGTGCCTGCGGCAAACCCCGCCACCGTGCATGTGCAACAGCGCAGCAGGAATGAGGCTGAGTGTAGGAGCAGCGCAATTCCGACGAGTACTCTGAATTGGCGCGGGTCTTGATCCCGACCTCGTCTTCGTCTGGAGGAGGAGGAGGAGGAGGAGGAGGAGGGGGAGGAGGAGGCGGCGGAGGCGGAGGCGGAGGCGGCGGCGGCGGCGGCGGCGGCGGCGGCGGCGGCGGAGGAGGAGGAGGAGGAGGCGGCGGCGGCGGCGGCGGCGGCGGCGGCGGCGGCGGAGGAGGAGGAGGAGGAGGAGGAGGAGGAGGAGGAGGAGGAGGAGGAGGAGAGAACATGAGGCTGATGAGGAGAAGGCTTCTTGGGGCCTTCTTGGGGCTTCCTGGGGGGCCTATTGGGAGCTTCCTGAAAGCTTCTTGGGGGCCACTTGGGGCCTCATGGGGCCTCATGGGAGCCTCTTGGTGGCCTCTTGGGGGCCTCTTGGGTCATCTTGGGGACTCTTTGCCTGTTTGTCGCCTCTGGAGGCCGCCTTGGGGGCCTCTCTAGGTCGTGATGGTGCCCTGTTGGAGCGGTTCACGGCCGTCTTCGGGCCCTCTTGGGAGCCCCTTGGGCGATTTTTGGGTCCTCTTAGGCCGACTCGGACCCCTCTTGGGGGCCGCTCGGGATGTCTTGGAGCAAGCTCTTGAGTTTGGAGCTCTCTTGGGCCGTCTTTGAGGCTTCTTGATCTGTTTTGAGGCTGTCTTTGGAGCCTCTTGAGCCTTCTTGGGCCATCTTGGCGCCATCTTGGCTGCCTTGAAAGCCGTCCTGGAGGCCATGAGGCAACCAAGAAGGCCCCAAGGCAGATCAAGAAGCCCCCAAGGCGTCACAAGAGGTCTCCAAGAGGCCCTCCAGGGGAGCCCGAGGAGGCCCAAACCATTGATGGTGCATAGGTTTTTGGCGGATTCTGAGGTTCTGGCATGGTTAAGTTTCTTACCGCCCAAGGCAGCCCAAGAGGCCTCTTTGGGCCGTCTTGTTGCTTTCTTAGAGCGCTTCAAGGCCTTCTTGGAGTCCTCCTGGGAGTCCCTTGGCCGATCTTTGAGTTATCTTGGGCCGGCTTGGGGCCCTCTGGGGGGCCTCTAGGGCTGTCTTGGAGCTATCTTGGAGGCCTCTTGGTAGCCACTTGGGCTTTCTTGGGCGGTAGGAAACCCGAACAGGCGAGAACCTCAAACTCCTTCAAACACCTGGGGACAATCAATGGTTTTGGCCTCCTCGGGCTCTCTGGGAAGGCATCTTGGAGCTCTCTCGCTCGGGCCGTCCTGGGGGCCTCTTGGGCCGTCTTGAGGCCCTCTTGGGCTATCTTGAGCCGTCTTGAGGCTCTCCTGAGAGGCTTTTGAGCTGTCCTAGGTCTTATTGAGCCGTTTTGTTGTCGTCTTCGCTATCTTGGCAGCCGTTTTGGAGGCCATCTTACCATTCTGGGGGTCGAAAAGAGCGCGGGGAGGCGGTCTACGCGAGCGCACACGAACCCGTGGGGGGGGCAGCCCCAGAAAATATTATAAAGCATTCCCAGCGGGACCACAGGAGCATTCGAACGCGCCCATTCCGCGCAGGCAAGGTGGTGGATACATGTGTATGTTTGTATGCATGCATGTATGTATGTATGCACGCGCGCGTGCATGCATGCATGCAAGCAAGTATGCACGGATGTATGTATGCATGCATGCATGCAT